ATTTGGTGAAATTTAAATTAGATCATAAATCAACTTTCCTTGACCTTTCCCTCCTAAACAGTTTGTTCTCCTTTTAAGATTTTTAAATTCATGCGTTTTCTACCTGACCAATGCATTCCTTTTCTTACTACCACATCATCATGTGATTTAATATATGTATAACATAATTTTTATTGTTGCCATCGTTTATGTACGTCGTGATTTTATGCCGTATTTTTCTTTTTCCCCACACTGCTGAAATGATTCCTTAAGTATTTTTTGTCCTGCTGTGCCCCATAATAAAACGTTCAAATTCTTCGGATTTAAAAATCACTTCGGAAAGAAAAACATGTTTTACATACAAACTTGATTTTATTGTAAGTCTAATATTTTGTTGCTGTGTTTTTCTATTAGACTTGTAACTCTAAAACACAGTGACGAAAATCCTCTTTTTTTTTCATTTCCGGATATACATAATTTTGATGATGGAAAAATTCCCAACTTGTGAATTTTTCTCTTTTTCCTCTTCGACCGTCGAAAAGGTCAGAAAAGTTCATATATTACTTTGGAGGCAATGTAAATTTGTTCAAAACTGGGATAATATAAATTCGACAGAAATTCGTTGCATAAATTCTACATCTCGCAAAACAAATTTACGCTACTTATTCCAACACCCAATATTCTCATCGCTAGAGTAAATCAACAATTTATTTCAAATGTTTTGTTTATTAATGAATCTGATTTTATTATCGGAATATATCCGCAAAAGCATTGCAATACTATTCCAATCAACGAGCGCTAGCCTTAAATTTATTTTGTTTTTGCATGTTTTGCAGATCGGATCATTGATAGCAGAAAATACAACGAAAAAATTTATTATACGATATGCACGCATATGATCGAGAATGATATTTTTGTCATTCTTTATTTTCAGCTTTTCTGCAAATGTGTACTTACACTTTGAGCGCTAGATGTGCTATACCGTCTTATACTTTGTCTCACAGTCCAACGATTTCTTTGAAATAAACGTTTTCTTTGCCTTTCTATATATGTACGTGTCATCGTGATCTTTTACGGTCCATTTCCAAAGAATTTTCGTATGCATTACTTGAAGTGTGAAAGCGTTCTGCTCGCTCATTTTCTTAGTGACAAACTGTTCGAATATTTTTTTTGACCGTTGAAACTGCTATTAAATCTAAATATATTAGGGGAAGAATGTCTATATAAAGGAATAGTATATAGAGGATTAAATCCCTTGTTGGGGCAAGGACAAACTTAGATATGGGTCTACCTTTGTGGGAAAATGATAATAGGGAACGACAAATCACCAATTTCTGCGGAAAGAGAGTTTCGGACATTCCATTCACTTGTAAATTTTACAGGTATCACCAAAATATTTTAAGGACATATTTTTAAGATCTAAAACTTGAAAAAATGCGAGAAAATTTTTTTTTATATATAATTATATATAAGATATGTTCATTTCATATATATATAATATGTAGATGTTTCCTTTCTCTCTCTCTCTCTCTCTCTTTCTCGTATAATTTCTGTTCTGTTAATAAAAAGAATTAAAAGGATAATTATAATTATCGCATTGGTTTTTTATGAAAGTGAAGTTTGAGGTAATGAAAAAAAATTGCCCATATTATAATTATATATAAATGTAATAATCGTACATAAAATATGATTACATGTATGTGATCATATATATAAAATATAATTTAGTCGCAATTTTACTTTTTAAAGAAAAACAATGCAAAAGCTGTTTTAAAATTATTTTTCAATTATTCTTATTATTTTTCTTATTTATTACGGACAACTCGACGGACAGAGATTATGCAAGAAAAAGAATTTTGTATATGTATAATTATAGATTTTTACATATACTTATTTCTATATAAAAAATGTTTATCGGGTGCCACGGAGGCACATGTTAATTATATTTGACAATAGAACGACTTACAATTTTAGTCCTAATCCGAATTGTTAATTAAATCTTGTTGGATTAATTAATTTGGTATTAGTTGCTTTCCATTTACATCTAAAACTCAGATAATTCTCACTTGTGATGTCATTCTGTCTTTATTATTCATTAATTGCCGAAAAGGGATGCCAAAAAAGGATTGCCAAGAACGGACGTCACAAGTGAGAATTATCTGAGTTTCGATGTAAATGGAAAGCACCTATTAATTAAATCCTAACGAAATAAATGTATTAAATATATAATTCTGTTGTTTCATCGTTCGATTTCCCGTCTCATACATATTTGCCGAGATTTCGTCCCTCTTCGCAATCATTCGCAAATTACATTCTCGTTCAATTTTAATTAGTTAACACTCGCGGTCGTAGATAGCAGCGGCGGACAGTAAATATAAGTGTCGCCATCTTCGAACAATACGACGAATCATTCTTATCTTATGTGCGTAAGGTGTGTTATTTTTGTTACTTGTCTCGCGACAGTGATACTATACGTTTGACGTAACGCTTCCTGGCGACGACGTAGTGTACAGTTTTGTTTACGAAAGGACCTCTTTAACTCATGAACATGAGCACCGCGAGATAATTCGGTAATTACGTTTATTCAACATAAAACAATACATGCACGAGCAAAGGAATCTCCGGCACTTGCGACGCTACGTCAAAACTGAAGAGAAGGGAAAAAAAGAGAGAGAGGGGGGAAATGAAAAGATTGATCGTTTTATTTTTAAGTAGCTCGACATTTAACTGTGTACAGTGTATATAATTTCTTAGGAAACGTGTCGTCTTCTGATGTTTACACGATCAACATAATTGGATTTGCGACTACGTACTTAACTGCATCTTGCTCGATAGGCTAGCGTTCTCGCTTTTCCAACGCTTCATCTCAGTTATATACCGTGGACGACACTTGAATCTCTAAATGCTCGACAGAAAGAAAAGCCTTTCTGCACTTTAATCCGTCGAGATTAATATCGTACAGATGTCGTTCGAGTAATTAATTCAACATGCATAGGATTAACGTAGGTCAACGCTTGTCAGGGGTGTCGGGGCTCTCGAGTCCTCTTCTAACTAGAGTCCCTCGAGTAAAGAGTTTTTCGTCCACCGTCCACCATTTTCAGACCAACTGCGGAGCGCTTTTCAAAAACGTTCAAATCAGTTTGGTATCTATGCAGTTTACTGATAGAAAAATTTTAATTCGCTAGTTTATATGTATATAAATATTATTATTGCTATAATAAATCTGTAAAAAGATAACAGTAGAACATGCAATTTCTTCGTAGCTATTATAGTCTGAAACATAAAATAGTTCAATAAAAAATTGTCTAATTCTCACTTGAGACGTTCTATCTCTGGGCAATGTAATTAAGCGTTGAATACGAAAATTGTACGCTTGGATTTGTTAAACAAAGCGAGATGATTCGATGCGCAGGTTGTCATTTAATTTAATTCATTGGACGTGTTCATTGATATATGCCGATTATTACAACAAAACCAAGCCGTTTATATACGCAAATGGAAATGTAAATTTTGTCAGAAAAGCCACATTTTCCTACATTTTCATTTTTTTTTCTTTTTTAATATTCGACACACAATACTGGGGTATATTAAATGAATGAATGAAATTATTGCAGGTGGATTATTAAATTTTCAGTACGAATGTATATAGCTGCGCTTGAAGTAAACTAATTAAAGTTTTTAAAACTTCATAAAACAGGAAGTATTATTCACAACAGATAATAATGGAATGATTTTGTTTTTCAGACTATATCCATAAGTCGAGTATGTGCAGGAAAAAAGTTCGGAGTGACAGACAATTTGACAACGTGGATTATACACAGCTTACGGAAACCGATAATGGTTTCTTTGATTCACAGGTGGGTAAAAAACAATGTGACAAATCAGCATCATAAAATATAGTTTCTTTGCGTTGTTATTGCGCTTGAGAATTTATTATTTAATACCTCAAATTAATTATTTATTAATTACATTTAAAACGTTGTGTTTCGTACAAGCAGTTGTGTTATCTGTAAAAGTGATACTTTCTTTTATTTCAGTTTGTAAGCCCACCAGTGAAGATACCATGGAAGGCTATTACATTAGCAGCCCTCCTATTCGTTGGAGGAACCATTATGCTCATTATGGGAAGCTTGATTGTGAGTGGGCACATCGACTCGAAAGTAAGATTTATTTTTATATGAAATTGTAATTGTACCGTGATGTCTTTCAAGTAATAATTTTTCGCATGTATGCAAGTATGAGAGATGATCTTATGTAATATATTCAGTATAATCTGTAAGTTAAGCGATACGTACTGATTACTGACAGCATCTGTCGAAATTAAAATAAAAATTATTTATTAAAATAACGCGTTATTAAAATAAAAATTCTGTTTACGTTACAGTATTCAGATCGGATGTGGCCAGTGATAATTTTAGGGGCCTTGATGTTCATACCTGGGGCTTATCACATGAGGGTAGCTATTCTAGCGTATCAGAAAGTACCTGGTTATTCTTTTGACGATATACCTGAGTTTGATTAAGATTTATGCATACGTGCACACAGTACTTATTTATTGACTCTATTTTTTAAAAAATCAATTTAATGATGAGAAATCTTTTGTTCATATAGTAGATTGCATAAAGAATATATTTCGTGCTGGGGTATTTTGTATAGAGTTAAAGTAGCGAAATGAAACACATTTTTAGCAACTTATGACTATTACCACTGTGTTCCTTTACAAAATATCTTCTTTACATTTACGCAAATATAAAAAAAAAAAACTACAATGCAATGTTGTTATCAAAAACGTGATAAAAATAATTTAAAAATAAATTCGTCTATATTTATAAAAACAATTGTGATCAAAATACAGCATTTATTACGAAATGTTGGAATTACATAATATGTTTTCATGTTTGTATTATTTTCTCAGACCTGATAAATATATATCTATGTAAATTAATTACCATGTGTACAGAATTTTTTAAATTTACTTTTTTATATATTTGTTTATTACGTATAATTTTATACATACAAGGTAAATAGATAATCGTGTGATAAAAATTTATATATAAAATTGACAATTGTGATGGTATAACATATTTGTATGCTACATGATAAAACGATTGATAAAGTCACAAAAATATAAATGTCTGTAATATAAAAAAAATAAAAATTAATAAACAAATCTTTAGTGCTTCTCTTTACAACACATTTTAAATGTCATGTCACATAATACAGAAATAAAAAATTGTAAATAAAATCTATGGAAATCGTAAATATATTTTCTAAACATTTTGCGCGCACGATTTTCATTACTATTTTTATTAAAGTCTGAAGTCTGGTCTAAAGTTTTCTGTTAAAGCTTGATTAAACCATTGTTGAGCTTTTAGTCAAACTAATCATAGTATGTGTATATAGCGTAAATATACATATATACGCTTGACATTATAAATTTTTTTTGTCAGTATGAGGACGTTAGATTTTAAGAGGATAGGGTATCTCATTTTTCGATACTTTCTCTCTTTCTCTTTTTTAACATTGAAACAATTAATATTAGTTGATATTAATAAGTAGGTATTAATGTTGTGTTACTTGATCTCGTAATGCACTACTGCTCGAGAATAAGAAGTATGATATTAATTACAATGTTCGGTTTTTAAATAATTTATGATACTTTTGCTTTGTAATTTATATATTCTACCTTTCCTGCTAGACATTAATACTAAAGGTGGATCAAATCGAGTTTTCAAAACGTTTCTGATTAATGTCCTTAAGTTCGTAATAGCTTTATTATTGTAATAGTTCTGCAATTCCGCGCAATACAACTGCTCAGTATATTTTATCTGTAAATTAAAAACATAAAATGTGTGATAGAAATATATTATAAATAATTATAAAATAGAAAGGATATTGTTAGTCGTATTGATTAGTATGCCAGATATGTAAAATGTTTTAAACATAATTTGTAAGAATCCTATTTATAAAAAAAAATATGCTTACCTCCAGGATAAGGTATACTTTGATACTTTGAGGTTTAGCAAACTCAATCGCATGTCCAAAATTTATCATAAGATTTTTTAACAATTGCAGAAATATAAGATATATTTCTTCTTCTGTCAAATCATTATTTATAATGATGTATGTTACTGGCCACAACTATATTGCGAATGTATAATAAATATATTCGTATTAAGTAATTTAAGAATTACAAGTGTTAAGAAAAAAAGTATATACAAAAATATATTAAATATATCAGAGGAAAACATCGTTCATAAGTTGATTAGAGTTATATTCTATTTTGATTATATTAATGTGTAAATAAAGTTAATTACATATTTACCTTCATTGTTGGGTAGACACCTATGCCTTCTGCGTAATTATATATCTGTCTGGCTAGACCTTCGTCCAGGTGAGTTAACGTTGCGATTAGCGCACGACACGTTGTTGTACTTAATGCAAAAGTATATTTAAGTATTAAGTTAGCCATCTCTATGATTAAATTCGTGTCTTTTTTTGACAAAGATAATATTATTAATTTGTCCACGTAACAAGATAAATCTAAAAAGGTAAAGGATAAATTTTATTGCTATGAACATTATTAAGAACATAATATAATTATAATTAATTTACGGTATAAATATGATAATGAATCGCGAGAATATGTGCATATAAAATTCTACTTTACCTATTGGGTAATACTGACTGTATTGATCTTTAAGTAAAAATTGGAAAATAAAGACGGCATGTTCAATAAATTCATTACAAAATGAATCCAATAAGATGTGCATTATTTTGTTCCGTACACGCTCATCGTTAATGGTACTTTTAACATACCACTTATCGCGACTAGTACATATAATATTTTGGTCTGAAAAAATTAATACAGGTAAATAATGTATTAATATGAGAGAAATAACGATAAAAAAAAAATGACTTAAAATATATTTCGTATGTCAATTTATATATATATATATATATATATATATATATAATTGACAACGAATTAACATTAATTCGTTAAAAATCAATTATATTTAATGTCAAATAATTTTATATTAAGAGTATTTGTGGATATTTTTTTTATGTTTATTGCCAATATTTTCCACTTATTATTTATATGTATATTAAAATTTCTGAAAGAACAATCGATCTCTGCAAAGTAAACTCACATTTAAGTAAATCATATGCTTTTATGACCTCTTTGTTAGCTAAGTAAATTTCAGCTGTTAGCAAGAAATACTCGGCATTGTATGGTAAATTATACATATGAAGTGATTGAATCAACCATAATGCAAGCCCCCAGGCCTCCTTGTCCACTAAATTGGTCAAAATGTCTAATCCTATTTCAAATAATATTTTACCCAGAATGTTGAAGGTACCCATTTGGACTGAAAAGTCCAAATAATATACGAATTAGGTAAAATTGTAAATAAAATTTGTAGCCTAAAATTCATTAATATTTTATTTATTTTATTATAATACGTTATACAACATGTGATACATAAAATATATCTGATACATACACCGTAAGTTATTCAATCAATAAAGAATATTTTTTCATAACATTAAATGAAAAATATATTTTAGAATATCATTATGCCAAAAATATTGTAACTGTTAGTATAAAATTATATCTTTTGTCATATATAACTCTTGATACTTAAAATCTACAAAATAATATATATTACATGCATTAGTTTACACAGTAAAAAATTTAATGTCCCAGAAAGTCCACTCTAAATTTTGTGTTAAAATAACAATAACTCATTCATCGTGTTATTTTTTACATTTAGAAATGTTATATCGACATTTTTTAATCGATATAACATTTCTAAATGTAAAAATTAACACGATGAATGAGTTATTTTAACACAAAATTTAGAGTGGACTTTCTGGAACATTAAATTTTTTACAGTGTATATAAGTTGTATTTCTATATATGCATAGTAATAAGTTTGTAGATGTACAAGTTGGTCGTCATCACATTATAAACTACTTGATCAACAATATGAAATATGAACAATGAGGAGAAATAAAAGCATTTCAATGAAGTAAGTATGTACTATATAGTACAGTGTATAGTATATGTTATAGTATAATACAACCTATATTATTTAATATCTCAGGTATTTCGTGCGTTATTTAAAATATTTGTTACCTGTACGACGTATGATGTTTGCTAAGTGGTACTCTGAACGTTTTACCTCTGTTCGAAGTATACTACAACAAGAGCGAACAAATAACGTAGTTTCATCTTGCATTTCTGAATAATTTTTTAAGATATTAATAACATAATCATAATCTTGATGTAGAAGTCCCTTCTTAAATCTCTCTAAATCCACATAAAATTTCCAAAGATGTTTATGATCTCTATAAGCAGATCGTGCTTCGGATAAATCATCTACAAAAAATAGACAAATAAGTAAATATATATATATATACACACACATAGAAAAAACGATGTACTACCACCAGCATTAGACTCATTAAAAATAATTTTGTTAATTCAATAACAGTACTAATGAAACAAATAAGATCTTATTAAGGGCATGATGTATTTGTTTCATTAATATTGTTATTGAGTTAACAAGATTATTTTCAATCACTGTTGTTAGCTAATGCTGTTAATACATCATTTTTTCCATGTACATATATAAAATAGTTGTATTTTTGAAGGATTTGTTATAGAAAAGATATGTATGTATGCATGCGCGCGCGCACATACACATATTCTTTCATAGCCAACAATAAAATGAATAATTACCGATAAGTCGCAGTGTATAACTTTCCCCGTTCACTTTGGCTATATGGTCCTCATTTTCATTTGTACTTTTATCTATAAAAGTACTACTGCGTTTCGGAGATTCTATCTGTGATCCATTTCCATCAGGAGAAGCAATAGTTTCCGATAACCTTTCTCCAAAATTCTGAACCAATACCGCAGGAGGATGAGAAGATTGAGAAGCAATAGTTTCCGATAACCTTTCTCCAAAATTCTGAACCAATACCGCAGGAGGATGAGAAGATTGAGAAGCAATAGGTTCCGATAAGCTTTCTCTAAAATTCTGAACTACTACCGCAGGAGGATGAGAATTGTTTGCAGTTTTACCAGCCACTAAGTTTTTAAAGCGTTCTATCACATTTTTGTCCAATGTTGATAGTAACGTAGTAGAGCAAACTTTTCTTATCAAGTTATCATTAACATCTTGAATATCAGTGAATTTTTCATTCACTATACATTCAACCAATATTTTCTGGATAATATGTTGTGGTATTATGTCCGGTGACACTTTCAAAATTAAAGTTCTCACAGTATTCCAATATTCATTCGGTTTGATGTTTTTTTCAATACATGTTAATATGTTTGTAAGATTGTTTGAATTTGTAATCGGCGTAATGTAGTCCACCAAACAATCCACGATTGTTTTTAAAGACATTTGTCTATTCAATAACTCTGTAATAGTATTATTTGTGATGTAATTCTTTGTATATTGCGTTAATAATCCCCCCGTATGAAACATTCGGTACATAGTCAAAATTTGATCAATAGTTAATTTCTGTAATGACTTAGAATATATCATTCTGCACAAAAAACTATAGCCAGACTCTAATGTCTCTTTCATCGTATCTAGTATCGCTCCAGAATCTTCCGAGTAAATTCCATTAACGAGTTCCTGCAACTAAAAATGAGATCAAGTTAGTATACAAATGGTTATATGCAGGGGTAAAAGCCATAGTGGTGTAAGTCAAATTTTTTCAAATATTTATATATTGTATAGGTTGCATCTATGCACACGAGTCAATATTTTAAAAAATTGAACTTACACACTATGGCTTTTACCTCTCCATGTATAAGAAAGTAAAATAATAGAGTATAAAATAAGTGTACTTACGTCATGCATGTATCTACAGTATGCTTGGTTGTTACAGATACCTCTCCTCAATAGCGTATAACAATATCCATTGACAAGGCTAGGAATTTTGTTCTTAATATTTTTTCTCATCCATTGAGATTTTACTATTTCTATATTTTGGATAAGTGGTGGTATTTTTGATACAGTTTTAATTTCAGGTACACAATCTGTAGTCCGTCTCAATTGATTGTTAAATTCCCTTTTTGTCTCATCAGTTTTATTCCATTCTTCTGTATCATCTTCAAATTTTTCATATTCTTTGTTAAATTCTGTTGCGTTCTGTTTTATATACTTATTAAAACTGCTAGTAGTCATTATATATGGTACATCAGAATGTAAAGATTTGCTTGGTTCGTTTTGTTCACTTAAAAATGTAGACGTTGCACGTGGTACATCAGAATGTAAAGATTTGCTTGGTTTGTTTTGTTCATTTAAAAATGTAGACGTTACACGTGGTACAGCAGAATGTAAAGATTTGCTTGGTTTGTTTTGTTCATTTAAAAATGACATCACTTGTGGTACATTAGAATATAAAGATCTCCTTGGTTTGCTTTGTTCACTTAAAATTGCATTTTCAGAGCTGTAAGAACAAATAAATTTCTAATTATTGAGAATATTGTAACTTATATACAATAGATATTATTAAATTGCAAAATATGTCCATTAAAAAAATTATTAACCTTTTAGAAAGTTACAAAATATTAATAATATAATATTAAATTCCGTCAAATTTGTTTCCAATTTATACTTACAGATTTGTATCAAATGATTCTGCAAACAGAGAAATGCAATCGTCATCATCATCATCATCATCATCATCATCATCTTTATCTTTATTTCCGCCAGTTGTATATTTCTTTCGTATATTAGTATCTTCATAAATACTTTTATCTATTTGATTTATATGTTGCGTTTCTTTCGGTGAGCTAGGACAATCCATGTGATTGCTGCAAACTAGATCCGTTTGAATATCTTTCTCTTTATCCAAAGTTTTACTAGAAACTGGTTCTTCATCGAAAAAGAGTCTTCTGCAAAATTTCTTGTTTTTCATTGTACTTGTTGAAGCACTTATATCATTTTCATTATTTAAATCTATTTGCTTAGACTCTACATTATTTTTATTATTTAACTTATCTTCAGATGTCGATAGTTTGGGAGATGGTTTTGATCTTTTTTTATTCAAACGTTCACGTAAGTCTTGCTCTGTTTTTTGCTCTTTGGAATTATTTTCTTCGACTATATTTGATTCTAATGTTACCGTTGTATCGCTATTTGAAAAGTCATTAAATTCTTGACTTAATGATTTAGCACTTGCTGCATTATTCTGCTGCCAAGTCGTTCTATTTAATCTCCTTTTTGAGATTAAGTTCATATGTATAGTATCTTCTGCTGTACGCTTTCGATTTTGTCTTATAAGTTTCTCTTTGTTGACAAGTATTAATGATCCGTTGACCTTAGAGCTTACATCTACATCCATAAGATTTGAAGTGTTCTTGTTTAAAATGCTTTTATCAGAATTTTTGTTACATTTTTTATCACCTTGTAATGTATTACTTTCATGTTCATCATCTGATTTATTTGATTGTTCTTGGTGATTCAAAGCATAATCTTCATAAGTTCTCATAATATTCATAAGGATTGTTTTCCTATCAGTATCATTAGCATTTACATTATTATGATTATTTCTTAATTCTATCAAAGAATCATTTTTACGATCTATTTTTGTACCGTGTAGTTTCTTATTATCTATATTTTCATTTCTTAAATTAATGCTATTAAGAGCTGACGTAGACTCTGACATGTCTAACATATCCATTGATCTATTTATTTCAGATGTATAATGTTCTTTTTCTCTGAGAATGTTTGTGGATCCAAGTGTGTTATCATTATCAACGCAAGAAACTTGCTTCAAATTGCTATTAGTATTATATCTATCTTGTTCTAGAAAAACTTGTTTAGAAAAACTATTCTGTAAGCTCTTATCACTCATGTTTACTTTCATAATTTTTACAGTACCTTTTGGTAAAATATGATTTCCAGTTATTTTTGGTAGTTTCTTTTTGTTATTATTTGTCTTATTTGCACATTGTTTTTTATCATATGTTGTAAGAAACTCAGACAGTACCGTAGTACCATTAGTCTCGGGCGCTGTTGAACAGATGGGCTTAGAAACGAATGCTTCTGAAACACCTGTTACCTGCATAGTACTATCTGTAGTCAGAGATGTATCGCTCGATTTTGTTCTCGCATAGATTTCTTTTTTATCTTGGCTTCCATTTATGCTATTATATGTGGTCAAAACATTGTCAGAAAGATTCGCGTTTTTAGATTTAAAATTTGTCTTAACGTCTTCAGATGTTCCAGAAAATTTATTTTCTACGTCTTCCGTATTATTTGTATTTGGGAATACATCTAAAAAGATAAAGTGCCCTTTTAATAGATTTCTTAAACTAAATTTTTAGAGATGTCTTTTGCTTCTAAAACATTATCAAACGTAAAATTAATAGCAGATTAATATTATACCTTTAACGCTTTTATTCTTTCCAATGTTCAAAGGAAAGTGTTCCAGTTTTACTTTGCAAACTGCTCCACCAGCAATAGCAGCTTTATATAAGGTATCATTATTATGCTTTTTGATGGAGTTACATTCTGTATTCGACTTCTGTGGAGCTTCCACCGGATGAGCTTCATTGGATATCTCTTGCATCTTGCTATTATAATCAGTAACAGTTAAAGTTTTTGCATCCAAATAAGTATCACCATCAGAGTCGAAGTTAACCGATTCCAAACTAGTACCTACTTTATATTTAAAAAAATAGATAAAATTTTACACATTGCAATACATAATACAACGTAAATAAGTTCATCATATGTTACCTGATTTATCGACGTATTTTCTTTCAGATCTGACTTTCTTCCCTTTTGTTGATTTTTTCTTATTACGACGGCTTTTATTATTTACTGGCACAATCTTCTTTTGTGTGAGACTGCAATACGTGTTCGAAGATATGCTAGATGTTTGGTCATTACTTTTACTCGAAAGTGACTTAATACTAGTATCACGTTTTAATTTCAGCTTTTGTGCTACAAATCCCAGCTGAATTACTTTAGGACACCGATTGTACGACACGTCGTTTAAAAGTTTAAGATTTGTACATTCTTCGTTTTTCTTTTCAATTAATTTTTTCAAACTTCTTGTTATACGAGTAGTTTCATCCGCTGTATTATCTTCCCGCACATTATCCTTTAACATCCAATTAGAATTTTTAGGTGTATTAATACATGGTGACGAATGTTCTAACTCTTCTTTTTTCTTTTCAGAGAAACGCAATTGGTAACGTTGAACTAGATCTTTATCTACAGCAATGTTATGCAACACAACCATACACTTAGGAAGGTCTTTCAACGCTTCTAACTTGTCATTACTTTTTGCCCGTGCATTTTTCCTGTCTTTTGTCTTTTTTCCCATTCTGTTTGATTAACTACTAATACATACGTTGGTGCTAATGCTTTATGAAAACCAGTTTTCAATATATCTTCACTGTCAATAGTAATAAAATCCTTTAAGCGTCTAACTTGACCAACGCATATCTTCATCGCTCTAGATCTTCGAGAAACGTCGTTTACATATTATTCTTCACGTTACACAGCCGAACATCGTACGTGGTGAGCATCGCGGATACAGTATAAATCAACCTAATGGAAATATATCCAGCATTTAATAAACGAGGCAAGATGCATGGCATTTTACACATCAACAATTCACATGGACACGGACGTTGTGCGAAAAACTACACGGTGGCCCGACAAGAAAGAGATACATCGGGGGGGAATATCAGATTACAAGGTAAGCGGCCATTAGACCCTTTTATCCTCTCTCTCTCTCCACGATAATCAACAAGTTAATCCTCCTCGTTGTGCAGTTCTTCACACACCCCAATCAAGTACATCGACACGATTATTACTCTTACATCTGTTTATCCGCATCCAGAAACGTGCGTATACGCACATCACGTGCGTGTATTTCTCGGCCCAGAGACGGTCTTCCAGAGGCTGATAAAGGTGCCACGAGCTTTACGCTAATCGGTCGCGGACCAATTCGCAATGAAGTCCCGCCGCCACGCCGGTTCGCCGCGAAAATATTCAAGTTACTGGCTTCGAGAATCGCAAGCATTTGTATCGATATATCCAGCGACGTTGGCGCCGCCAATTTACGCGTACTACGTAGGCGGTAGGAGTAAACGTAGGGAGGGTACGGTTTCTGCAATATCGACTATCGGTTACCCGTAGTCGTCGCACGCGGCCCCCACGACTCTCGATATGATGCTTCGTTGCTCGTTAAAAGTTGCAGATCGTATATTTTAGCCGAGCTATATTAGAAATTGTAATTATTCACGTCGAGCATGGACTACAAGGATGAGCAGCGCAACGAGATCGAGGCCTTGGAGTCGATTTATTGCGGGGAATTGGAGAGTACGTATCGCGAATCCAACCTGTAACCGATGCATGTCGGAGCGAGGCGGACGAGATGCGTAGCCTAATGATAATATTGAGCTTTCGATAATGAATTACTGTTTGTCACGAGTTAGGGCCCGAGCAGAATGGCTGTTTGCAATTTTAAGACAATTTTTTTATGCTTTAAATCTTCGTCTTTAGTAATACTTGTGTCTCAAGTCTTACAAACGTTGACATTTCCTTTAAAACTTGACGCAAAAGACAATATTGTGCGTTACTAAGACAGACTCAAAGCATAAAACATTGTCCTAAAATTGTAAGTCAATCATTCTGCCCGGGCCCTAATACGTGTGTGTATGTTGTACAGTTTTAGCGACCGAGCCGTTTTACACATTTGCCATAGCGATCAAGACGGAGGAATATGAACCAGAGACTGTCAATGGTCTTGGCTGTCGATTGGAATTTACGTATACGTCCAAATATCCGGATGAGCCGCTGGTCATATCAATCTCGGAGCAGGAAAATCTCGAGGATGGCGACGACGAGAAATTGAAGGCACATCTGGCGGAACAGATGAGCGAGAATCTTGGAATGGTAATGGTCTTTACGTTGGTCAGCGCAGCTCAAGAATGGCTCAATGTACAATGGGACAGAATAAAACTGAGGAGAGAAGAGACTGCGGCGAAAAAGCAGAAAGAGGAAGAAGAGGCAGAAAGGGTAAGGGTTTTTATATTACAGATAGATCTGCATAGATGGCAATTGTAATAATGTTCCTTTTGCTTTTGTATGTAGAAACGATTCGAGGGAACTCGCGTAACCGTGGAATCATTCCTAAGCTGGAAAGAGAAGTTTGACGAAGAAATGGGCTACACAAAACGGAGAGAATTGGCAGATCGCGAGGGCAAAAAGTTAACGGGCCGGGAATTATTTATGACCGACAAGACGTTGGATCAGTCGGATCTTAAATTCTTAGACGACGGTAACTTATATTTTTTGTTTCCTGATTACTTTAAATCTGACTTTTATGTTGAAAGATACTGGATATTACATGTTATGTAATTTTAATCACGTAGGTGATGCTGTAAAAGTAGATGAGAGTCTGTTCCAAAATCTGGATGATCTAGATTTAGATGACGACGAAGACGACCCAGACTATGATCCAAATATCTCGGATGATAGTGCCTAAACAAATTTGATTCAGTAGCCACCAAAGTGATACGTAGAACTAATTGAACAGGAATTTACTAAATTATTACTAAAGAAAAAGGAAGAATGAGTAAAGTATATATTTTAAGTACTAGAATTTCTCTTGCAAGCATGGATACTGTATTTAGTGAAGAGTGGCAGTGATGAACGAATCGGCATGGTTGAAACAGAAAATACGATATTTCTTCAACCGATGCTTTATTGGAAGACAATTCACAAAACGGAATATTTAAGGAATGAGATAATTTTTATACTTGTGTATATATAAATTATGTTCATAAGCTTTGATTATATTAAAGAAACCTATATCTCGTATTAATATTATAGTCTTTCCCTTTTATCTTGGTATTTATCACAAAATATATACAGAAAAATGGGGTACAAGATAAATATATATCTAATACACGAAATAACGACCAGGATTTAACATTTATTCATAGTCTTTTAACGTTATAATTCGCATAGTAGCAATTCACAAACATTTCACGATTTAATAGAATCTATTTTCTGCGATGTACAATACTGTCAAGACGTTTATCCATGGCAGCATGATACACTTATCTGTACACAAATTGCACAGATTTGAATTCCTTATTTTGTGGCAGTAATTAAAAAATGTAATCAATATTATCGATAAATACTTATTTCATATAACATAGATGCCTTTTGTCAAAGATTTATTAGATCTGTAGCAGTCTTTTGCAGAATACAAGAATGCGCATCACAAAGTACAAACATATTGGTGTTATAATGTTTTGATGTATCATAACGGTTCTTCTAGTTCATTGCATGATCACTCCATCGCCAAAGACTAACAAGATTAAAACAAAATTATTTTGTCATGTTATTCGCGAATTTTTTCATTTACTGCAAGTTGTTACTTCGAAAATATTCACGAAGGAGGTAGTGATTTGTTTCTGATGAAGGATCACGTATCAAATAATTATAAGAAAAAGCAGCTATTCATTAACTAACTAACGGCTGTAAAATACAAATGGATCACGTACTGTGCATGCCACATAATACAGAGTGGTATCACGCTATTAGAAATAACTTTACGATTATTTCAGGTGAATATCTTAGAAAAATAAATAATCTGTAATGTATACTGGAATACTTGACAATCCATGTCGAAGTTAGTGAATATTGAATAGTTGTATACTATTCAAATATGATTCTGCGAAGTGTCAAACATCGCCACGTCATTGCGTTAAATACAAATACATAAATAAGTACGCATTTATTCAAGCACATTTAAACGCATAAGAATATCGACAAATTGTAATTTCTTAATACTAGAGAGTACAATATTTGTGTGATTCACACTAATAATTTATTTTTTGACTGCAAGAAGTTAAATTAAGAAGTTTGTGTCAAAGTGGTCGTCTCACATGTATCGAGTTTAGACTCGCCAACGCGTCATAATCTGTTGGGAGAAGAACACAATTAATTATACAAAACGGTAGCTCTACGAGTTTACCTAAGCGATGTACAAATGAAAGCTATACCCTTGTAAATTATTATTATATAAAGATAAAAATTATTTTTAGAAATGCAAATAGATAATTCGTCCTTGGAAGAGATGTATTTTCAATCGCTTGGATAAACTTAATTTTGATGTGTATAAGTTCAAGATTGTTTATCAAATAATACGTTTAGTATATGTATATATCAAACTAAATTAGAGAGATCTTTTTGCTCATCAAACAGTTATAATTATATAAGCATATTCTATCATGTCCGTAAGATGTTAATATTGCGTACGTTATGCAGCATGCCATTCCCCTAAGCTTATGACACACATCTAGAGCCAGATATTAATCTAACAAATGTTGCAATATAAACACAAGATATATTGTCTTTTTTATTCCAAAAAGAATAATTTATTTTTCCATCGTAAAATTATATCCTTGTTTTATCTATTATGTATATATTTGATCTTTAGGACAAATATTTCGGGATAATTTATAAATAATATATAATTTATTAAATAATTTTAAAGTCTTCGTAAAATGTTCAGAAACATGTTGCAAAATGGTTCAAATGTGAAAGTTGTATTTATAATTTTTATTTCTAGTTCTAGTCTTGTTCATGCTATGCATTTTATTTCTAAGTTGTAATCAGACTTATAAAAATACTAAAAATTCAAAAATATGCTTTTTCTAAATAATATTTAGGACTAAATCTGTCGCTGAGATGTCAAAGAAAGCAATTCTAATTTTTGGACAACTTTCTTTGATTTAAGCGTATTTATTTAAAGTTTTAATAAAGTTTTAAAGTATTAATAAAATAATTATAAAACATAAATCTATATATAAATACAAAATATTGCAAAGTAAAAATTTTCGAGCTGAAAGCGTGTGCTTCGGTCTTCGTTGGAGTTTCGGAAAATTCATTGGAGTTTTGATTCGTCTCAGGTTGTTTTAAGGTGATCGTGATAACTTCGGGAGAGGAAGTGGAGACGGATTTAGAATATTGTCTTGGAATCGTCCGTAAATGAGAAGTCAGGAAACCTAAACATATTATTAAATATCTTATGACCAATTAAATTTTTAACAGAGTTTACAACGGAAAAAAATTTAATTCTAAAGTTCAATTATTATTTGGATAATAACAGCTATTATCCTGACGTACATACATTTTCTTCTAACATTTAAAATGTGTAAAATAATACAATGTATTTTTACAAAATGCGATTTACAATTTTACTATGCAGCATAAAGTTTCTTTAGTCACTTTCAACTGTATTTCAGTAACAATTGCTATCTTTAATATTGATACATAAAAGGAGGACATTAGAATATTACATTGTTAGTTTATTGCAATAATAACATTGTCAACAATCGATTCATGCCGCCATGTACTGTGTTAGCGATTCATTGCAGTGATGAAAGCACTATGGCGTTAGTTATCTGATGAAACAATCTTTCTTACGATTAAAACTGTTTATGAGTCGTTTTGCTGCTTGCACATGCTGTGAATGACATTGATTATAAGTCATTATAAGTTGAAGAGACATCGATATTTTTTCATTAAAAATAATGATAGTCTCCAACTATTCCGGCCGATGGAAATCTGCTACAGATGTTTTAAATCGTGACGAATTTCTATTGTGTCTCTGAAAAAGATTTTAATTAAACTTCAGCGGTTTCCACCGAAAATTTATTGCCGAAACGAGTAAATCAAAAACGGACAACACTGTGAAGGAAATGGATACATATGAATGTGAAGTGGGTGATTACATCATAAAATAAAATATCTAAGCTTTGATAGTCTATCAGTAACATTAACGATTAACATAATATAACATTCTGAGAGAATAAGTCACTATTAAGAGAATAAGCATAAAATCGAGCAATTTTATTTTATCATTGCTTTTTTGCAAACTTTACGAAATAACACATTCCTAAATATTTTATAAAAAATCAGCAGGAAAATAATTTCATGCATTTTATGGAAGCTTCATAATATAATCGTGGAAAAATGCAAAGAAAAAATAAAAAAGCGATGCGCAATGCGTATCAAAACAAGAAAACAAGAGATTCTTAATAAATCTTCTAAAGATTCTTGTTTGTTGCAATCAGACTTACTAACTACCTCGTTCATGCTGTCTATAAAGTGCTGCAACACTACTTATTACAACTAATTTTGATATTTATCTATCACTATCTAATTCTTCGATTCTATAGTTTATGAAAATGATAAATTTCACTTTATCGAGTGATGCGACGTATGTCGTTATGTGGTTAGGAGAATTGATCTAGAATCACAGAGTTCATCGTACTTACTTTTCCGGCAAGATACGTGGTTTGGCATAATCACCCGGCCATTCGTACAGATTTGGCAGTGGACTGTCATAGTTGGCATCGTACATCTTACTCATGATAAATTGTAGCTTGTCTTTCGGCTCCGGATATTCACTTGCCAAACCACCTACAGATATAATGATAGATAATAATACTAGCTAGTATTTTGCACACAATTCTGAAATTATAACACCAACCTTTGGCATAAGCATAATTAGCTATTTTAATCGCGATGTCGATAGAACACTCGCGAATACTATTTAACGGCGGGTATAGACTACCCCTTTCGAGATCCTCATTTTTCACGTGATCGGCGACAGTTTGTGCCGAGATCAGGAACAAATCTTCGGTGATGTGATGCACTCCGGTCGCGATAACGCCTAAAGCAATACCGGGGAAGATGTATGCGTTATTACCCTGTCCAGGCTTATATGTTTTTCCTTTATATTTCACTTCACCGAATGGCGAACCCGAAGAGAATACACATCTGCCCTAAAAACACAGATGGGTTTAGTCTGACGAATCAATTTAATATGTCAAAAAGCAGAGTCATCGTTATCCTTATGCGATTTAAGATTGTAATATATTCATACGTCGGTATGATCATACGCTTGCTGCGCCGTACACTCAGCTTTACTGGTTGGATTACTTAAAGCAAAAATCAACGGCCTCTCGTTATTTTTTGCCATCTCCGTTAAGACTTCAGGAGTAAATGCCCCTGCCGCCGCCGAAGCGCCTATGCGAACATTTCACTTCTGTACCCAAGATCGTTTTTCTTTGAAGGAATCTGCTTACCTATCAAGACAGTAGGTTTGATTTCTTTCACAACTTCGATTAACGTCTTCATCACTTTGTGGTCCTTCGCGTACCAGATTTTGTGGCCTTCCAAATTACCCTCGGGCCGATTCTTCACGAGTAGCCCGTCAATGTCCATCATCCAAATACTATCGCGCGCCTGCTGCTGGGTGGAACCGTCAGCTTCCATCGCTTTGACACACAGATCGGCTATTCCAATAGCTGCCTATAATTAAGTAGAATAAATATTGTTGTGTTGCAATCTCAAAACAAACGCATAAATATTTAGTATCTTTGCACTACGTCGAAAAACAAACCTCTCCGGCGCCGAGGAAGACAAACTTATTATCTGACATTCTTTTCTTAGTTATTCTTTGCGACGCTAAGATTCCAGCCACCGCAACCGCCGCCGTACCTTGTATGTCATCGTTGAACGTACAGTACTTATCTCTGTATTTATCTAAGAAACGGAAAGCATTGTGGTTTCCAAAGTCTTCGAACTGAAACACAAAGCGTGTAATATTATCATGTTGTACGAATCATAGAATCATAGAATTTCACGAGATTTAAATCAAAGACATAATAAATTATATATATTTAAAAGTGTACACACGATAGTTGCGTATGTTAGCTTACTTGAATAAGAACGTTTTGTCCGTACTTTTGCACGCAGGCAGCCATAAATTCGTCGATTAATTCGTCATACTCAGCACCTTGGCTCCTAGGCTTGTTAAGACCGATGTAGTGAGGATCGTTTCTTAGCTGCTCGTTATTAGTGCCTACGTCAATGGTGATCGGGAGACATTGATGCGGTTTGATACCAGCCAGAGCTGTATAAAGCGCCAGTTTTCCAACGGGGATACCCATGCCGCATGCCCCGAGGTCACCGAGACCTAAAATTCGCTCGCCATCCGTTACACAGATAGCTCGCACCGCTTGTTCCGGCCTAAAAATACGAAATTATGGTGAATATTGAAAATAAATTAATACGCTGTACTATACATAAAGCCATTGATCTTTCTCTCTTGCTCCGCTTGTTGTAACGTGAAAACGTGCGATGCGTGTGATGCGTGGAATTCTATTTTTAGCAAACCAACGCCAAACGCGCACTTTCCGTTTAAAACTCTACAGTGTCTTTTAAAAACTGTTCTTCCCTTGGAATAGCGATTGCATTTTAATCAATCGTGTGAAAAGAACGGTAAAAGACAGGTTGCAAACATAACTCTCTCGTTTCTTTTACAGATACGGCAATAATATTTCGTAGTATCTCTCTTTTGATACTAACCAATTATTCAAGATCTCGTAAATGTGGCCCTTATCGTATATAGTAATGAAAAGTCCGCGAGGTCTACGATATATCACGCCAAACTTTTGGCAGGCCAAACCGACGGTAGGTGTATAGACAATCGGCATCATCTGTTCGATGTTTTCGCTTAACAAGCGAAAAAATAATCTTTCGTTCCTCTCCTAGAAATTATTCCGAAGAAATTAAGGGCAGATTCTCCAAGGGCGAGTAGGCGCCGAGTAGGTACTATACTATATTTACCTGAAGTTCCACGAGATACAAGTATCGATTCAAATCCTCCGAGTATTTCATTACTGAGGCTTTGCACAGAGCCAGCTGTTCCTCTTGCGTCTTAAATCGGGGTGGCTGCAGCCCGTGTATGCCGAGGGCTATTCTTTCTTTCAGGGTGAACGCCAAGCCCTGTTATTATCAGGGAATATTCACGCTGTGAGATCATGCGTCCGCTCTACCGAAGAAAATTCAAGGGAGGGACAACGGTACCTTGTTCAGTCGGGGATCTCGGAGGTGCCCGATACCCTTTACCATATTTATCGGTACCACATCTCCCGAAACCTCGTGGATGTCCCTTTGCTGAACGTCCTTTACGCCGATATGCGAAGGTGGTAGCGTCCGCGTCCATGATCCTCCGCAATTTCTGCTGCTGGCCGATCTAAAAATAACCGTGGAATTTGTATCTCGCGACCTTCGTCAAATTGCATTAATGTGCTTAATGCCTCGCAATAAAAAAAAGTACAATAAGAATATTTTATTTTAATGATAAATGACATATATGGTGATATTTTTCACGATACACAGAAAAAAAAGGAGTGTTAAATCAAAACTTATATACTCAATACTTATATACACAACAATCTATAATCTTCTTATAAAGAATTAAAATTGTTTTTCTTGGTTGAACTATATAAATTACTTCATTCAAGAAAGATTATAGATTGTTGCGTATATACGAAGATATAAAACTTGATTTGACATTTCTTTTTTTCCGCGTAAATTCTTTGCGGTGATTTAAAGGCTCATTAGCATCGTTGTTAAATCAATCATCGATTTAATCATATGAATTTTCTACTCCAACGAGACTGTGTTTCAAGACCGACAAATAATCGGCGTGCAGTTTGCGGTGTAGAAAAGTTTATATTAATTTATATAACAAAAAATTAGACAAATATCCAGCCCGATCGAAACCACTTCTCTATTTACTCGTGGTATTCGGTTTCATTTATTATTGTTTTATTTTATTGTCAATAAAAACTACGGGTGATGCTTGCTGCGCGACATCAAGACTGCCGTCGACTAATTATCACAGTTAACGACTCGATGACTCATTTAGTAAAAAAGTAACTTTGTAAGCGTGGGAATCCAATAAAAAGAAACATTTTCTTTTTTTAGAGACACGATCAACGAATTTTCGTTTGTCGTGTTTTTGAATGTTTGTAAAAGGACAATGAACAAATGACGAAATGCCGCTTGATGAGTAAATTTAATTTAGGAAATGGCAAAGGAATGTCGCGTCATCAAAAACGACAGATAAGTCGTTCTTATCACGAAACGCTTTGTGCACGCCTGGTCTCGCCAGTCTCGTTGGCGATAAAAATATTTCATATTATACGAGTTATATGGTAAATATCATGCGAATGTTTAATTCATGGGCCGTTCGACATTCAGAAGAAACACAACAAAGTTATTTCAGTATAAAAAGATACATAATGCCTTGTTGGCACGCATACGTATCCTCTTATTAACATTCATTAGCGCGAAGACAACGATTTGACGAGTCTCGATTTTGTTTAGAAATGATATCAGATGCAAAACACGTGGCGATTCGAGCCGCGTTTAATCGTAATCCCGTACGATAATTCTCTCTCTTCATTGTTCGCCGATAACAAAATCGACGACGATTGAACGTACGACTAAACTGTGGAATGAGACAGATTAGATAAGAATTCATAGAATATCAGTGCCAAGCCTTTAAACTCGCCGTACGATCAGATCGTGTGTAGGATTAGATAAAGCACGATCAATGAAGCTGCAAAGTGGAGCACGTTGTAACGTGCGCCGGGCGCCGGTTTCTTCTCTTTAAAGTGAACGGTTCCCAGAATGCGAAATCAAGCGGAATGAAACAATTCCCACTGTGAAATGATATCTTTGCTTCCTCGGAAATTTACTTCCTATAAGAAATGACAAAACCGTCGCGCTTTAAAGCCTTGAAACGCAGCAAAGCGCGGTCACGTGCGTTTCATGCCCGCGATATTATTCGACGACGGTTCCCCGCCGCTTGAAGAACCAAAGCGGGCTACGCTATTATTATTTTCGTGGCATAAAGCCAATTTTGCAGAAATGACCGAGGCGCGAAATCTGCCCAGGTGGCGAGCGTACATACGCCTTTTTCTGTCATTCGTAATTTCGGGATATGGTAATCGCGTTAGCAGGCTGCATTTAACGCAAGTGCGGCCCGCTCCTCTTTCCTCTCCGCGTAGCGCTTTTTCTCACGAAACAGAGACGCGCCGTTCTAAATTTAAATAGCTCGTAGTAAACGTTTGCGCTTTTAGGACCAGTTTCACAAGTGTCGGTTAACTTTTAATCTTAGATTAACTCACTCTTCGTCTTTTTCTAAGGGGGACGTTAGAAGGAGGCAAAGAGTGAGTTAATCTAAGATTAAAAATTAACCGACACTTGTGAAACTGGGTCTTAGATATGTATTTATGTGTTTTCGTCGGCGTTAAAAAGATTGTAAAAATTCATTTTTCCATACATTTGCGAACGTGGTTACATTACAATACGGATATATGGAGTAAACGCGCATTGGAACTGTGCCTTTGTGAGACACACATCGTGTCGTTGTCATTGTAAACGAGTAACCGTTCCGGCCTGTTAACACGTTGGCTGTCACGCTGAATTCGCTCCCGAAAATCCCGACAGGCCACCTGCCACTGTATGTACTCGAAACCCGAAAAATTAGTTGAATCCTAGAATATCCAAAGATATCTGTATTTTATTTTCGTAATATCTTATTAGTTTTACCACATCCTGTTAGAAATAGCCAATTATACCATTTCCGGTTGAGTAAGTAAAAATCGTCATTCGTGGTGATGTAAGTAAATATATGTTAAATGGTTCACAGCGAAACTCGCGTAGCCCTCCCACGTGAAACAACCCTCACCGCGTTACAGTTTCTCCTCATCATCATTAAACGAGCGAAACTATACACCGCTGACCAAAAGTTTATTAATCGGAAGTGTCTATTACTATGTAGAATAAAATCAAACTTATACATTATAATTTAACATACTTTTATTATTTTATTTTTTTTTTTTTTATAGAATGAATAATAATATAAAATGTTTGAAGAGTCTATAAAAAATATTTTATATATACAATATAAGAATATTAGACACTTTTTTCATCAAAGCAGCCATTCTCACATTTAATTGCCTTTTTTTTATTTATTTAAATAATCTAGCTACAAGTTCTTTTTCACTCTTCTAAAATCCACAACTCAATTTTGGAAAAAAAGTTTTATGACTGTAGTACCACATTCTTGAAATTAAACAGTGCTATGTTAATTAAATATAACTTCAGTTTGAGAAAAGTATTGAGTAAGGCTTGAATCGGACTTTCAAGTAATGTTTCATTGAAACATTTTTAATTTTATACGTGGTCTCGAACTTTTGGCAGGCATTGTATGTCACGCTTCGCGATATAACGCCTATGAGTGTGAGCGCGTCGTCGCGTAGATGAATAAATTAAAAAGGAAGCTTCCTAGCTATACTTCGACAAAAAATACAAATGACAAATCAGATTGATTTACACCTATACGGAACGGAATAATCCCAGTGTCATAATTGTGCAATTCTTCTCACTCGGCTCGATGGATTTTATAAATATCCGGCCGACAGGTCAGTCATCAGTGATGTAAGCAGAACAACGAGACTTCAAACATGACGTAACCGAAGTTTCTGCGACAGTTTGTGTTGAGGTGGAGAGCTGTTATTACGTATCCCGACATTTTCTATAGCCCCGATCGATCGACCGCGATACTTTTTATATTGATTATTTGACGTGCTATACGAGCACTCGCAACGCTTGTAAGTCCTAAGGAAATTCGTCCTGCCGACATTGAACTTTACCAGAATAAAGCACGTGATTTGATAACTACTATTTTAGTTGACAAGCCTGCAATTAAGGCAACAGGAGATTTTCGTGTCTGATCGCCTATCATCGGTTATCTAGCTACGTAAACCAGGCGATTTGTCGATTTTATGTCTAATATTTGATTCGCACTATATATTATACCACTTACGAAGCGAGAGGATATGCGCATAGATCGCAAAAATGTCGTACCAGGAAGAGACACTCGAACAGCTTGCCCGAATAATCGATCAAGCGCATTTCACGAGCCGCGGATGAAGCACACGTCGGGTATCGTAAATTGGATCGGGCAACGCGCGCGATGCGATACGCCGGTAGATAACATTTATCAGACGTTTGCTTTTACCGCGAACAGGACCAGGTAAGAAAGACACGTAAGACGCGTTGCAGTTGCACTTATCGTTTTTTTGCTATCGATTATGTCAAAACCACGCGCAGATAATTTCAACGGTACGATACACGATACATTGCACTGTTAGTATACACAATTTGAGTGATTTTTAACTATTTTTATAGGTCGCCACTGCTCAGTATATCGTTAATTCGACTAAACTAATAGAGTTAAAAAAATAAATTTTGACACGTGGTAGTTAAAAATAACAAAATGTTATTTAACTCATTGGTTTAAATTTAATTCTTTAATATTTAACAGTGAGCGTGTTTACAATTAACCGCGATAGATTGACGACAGCGAGAGGAAAGATTCGACGACAATGAGAATGAAAACGGTTCGACGCATGTATGAGTCTTCTCTTTATATAAAAGAATTATTCTAGAATTACATTCCTACTTGTACATGGTGTGATTTTAAGCGAGGAAAAAATCGTGATAACATTAGTCTAGCGCGGTATTTCAATAAAAAGATAAACAAAACATAATACGTCCACTTTTACATTGATACAATTAAGCATTGTCTTAAGGTTGAAGGTGATCAACGTAATTCGTGTATACGCTTGGACTATCCTTCGTATAACGTGTAACGTATACATATTATATTTGTACAATGTATTTCTATCTTTTGCGTTTACTTTCAAAATTCGCGTTCGCAGCAAAGTTCGACTGTTTGCTTGAAATACTTCGTACAGTGTATACGATAGGCGATACAAATTTAAATGATCAATCAAATAATTGCGTAAATTTCGTAAAACTTTGTGGGTGTTTATATCTCTCATCTATATTGCTAAAATCAATTTGTCTAATGTATTTGTGTAACGTTTACATATTCGTTGCTTTCGTTCAGGTTGAAAACAGAGTTTTGCTGAATCGATTCGGCTTCTCGACGTCTTATTAAAAATGAGATTTCCTGCGATTTCTTGCGCCGCGTGACTAATATCCGGGAATAAAAAGTATCGCCAGATATCTAGAACACCAGATATCTTTTTCCTTCGTTCACCGCGCCTGAGTCCATCGCGCACGTCCCTGGAGCGGTACAGTATCCGGACAGCCGCCGTTTTTTTGCCTTGACTTTGAGTCTCGAGATTATTCATGATCCGTTACTTCCGCCAATTTCCACTTCGCGATAGAACCTATAAGACGATTATTATGTGAAATAACGTTGCTCTGCGCTCAATTTAATTCAGAAAATGCGGAAAAAAAGCGAAAAAATGCGGGATGTTGTAACAGATAAGAACTTCATCTAAATATTAACGCTTTCTCGATGTCATAACAGCGAGCGACGAAAAAACATAAAAAAAAAAAGAAAAACAATCAGAGAAAACGAGACAATGTCGAAAAAGGGATCGTAATAAGAATCTCTGCGTTATTTTTATTTTTATTCGCAGCCAAAGCTAGCAATCGAGCCAATTTGGAGGAACCTGGAGGAACTTTAAAACAACTCGAGATTTATCTGCAAAGTCTCTTTTTCCTATCCGACAGTTCTGACACCATTGTTTAGTCGACCGTGTCAATATCCCTCGGTAACCAGCTCAAGGTGAAGATTCCCGGAGATACGGATTACACCTGTACGGTGAATTTCCACAAGAACGTGGAGGGTGTTACTTTTCGGAGCGCGACGAGCATCGCACCGGGAACCTCGTCGAATCGCGCACGGAAGCGGATCTCCGATTCTGACGGCGGTCAAGGCCACGGACGAAGGCCAGGTGAAGGCCAAGGATAGCGCTAAAGGGGAACGAGAAAATGGGCAAACGGCAGAGCGGTAGAAAAAAACACCTGAACGAAAGCACGGCAAACAGCTTCGCCACTTCTGACAATTCTAGCTTCGCCTAGCTGGTATCGATCGTCGTCGGGGCGCGTTCCTATTTTCAGCATCGCATCGCGGCCCGTCCCGCGAGACGGGTCGCACACGGCGCGGGTTCCTTTTTCCCCGGGAAAAAGGCTCGGTGTCCTCCCTGCGCCCTGTCGAAGGGTCGGAGCGCTCGCCTCCCCCCGTCGCGTCGCGTCGCGTTCCTACCCGTGTCGTCCGCAGATTGATCGCGGTATTAACGGGCCGTAGACCCGCCGCGCCGAGGCGACGACGATCCCGAGGGTCGAGAGTAAAAAAATTTCCCTGTGGCGTACTCACAATATAGACCTCTGCAGGACGAACATCTCGCTCCTCTCCTCGTGTGCTGGTGCACGCAGCTGATCACACCTCCCACCCGACAGGAACGGCGCGCGACTGCGCCGACTGCGCGTTCTAGGAGCCCTCGTCGGAGGCGGCGGCCGTCGGAGGACGTCGGAGGTCGGAGGTGCTGCTGGCGGCGCGGCGCCGCGCTCGCGTCGCGGGGGTTCGGGGTTCCGCGTTTCACCGGCGCCGGCGGGGCGGCGCGGCAAAAGGTGCGCAGGGTGCGCAGCAATCAGCAAATCGCGTCGCTCGAGCTCGAAGTTGTTGCGAGGGATGTGAGGATGAGGATTATTATTTTTTTTCACCTTTGCGTTTTTTTTTCCACCGTTTGAAACGGCGTATTTATACGCGAAGATTTTTCGAGGAGGGAGAGGAAATCATGGGGATTCGCGAAATATCCATGCACGCGTGACCGCGATCGCCGACTTCTTGAATTATTCTGTTCCCCGTTCGCGGTCGATCGATTGTTCGATAATTAATTATGATCTTCGATCATCTCGCTTGCCTAAAAAGACTCGAGCGTATTGATTATTTGTAGGCCTATTATTCTTTTTTAACTGACAATGAGCTTCTCGCACGGCTCACCTTTCCTCTTTTTCTTCTCACGTTGTGGGGAAAAAGAGAAAAAATGGAGCAAGAAGTTCAGCTAAAAAGAACAGGCCTTGTATCGGCGAAAACACCCCTCATCAAATTTCTTTGATTATTCGACAGTTAAATTAAAGCTGAATTGTGAATCGATTAATTGTTTTTCAGGGTATGGAATCATCAGCTGCATTCGATCGAAGCACAGATGCATTTAACTGTAGAAACATTTAGAAAATACCATTTTAAAAATATGTAATTGTTATTCTCGCACTGGTGGAAAAATGTGATTTTATTTATCGCATATTGAGTACTGACTCGGAAAAAAATTTGTTTTTCTCAAAATATATAATTATACATGAAATATATGTTTTCTTTCTGTTGTATATTCTCT